TGAAGATGACCTTTGGTCTTCAACCAGTATCCTGCAGTGAAGCCTTGACCCAGAGTGTATCACTGTTTTTTAGTGAGGAAACTCTACACAGCGCAATCCCACATCAAAGTAATGTAAAAATGCAAGCTTACACATTAAAGATTGCAGCAGTTTTTGAAGATGTCATTCACAGTCTGCCACTAAACATACAGGAACACACCGCCGGCAGTGGAACAAGACAGGTGCCCACCCATGCGGGCCAGTACTTCAGTAGACTCCACACGGCACACAGCCACCCCCAGTACCTCTGAGCCCTCGCCTCAGCCCTTGTGCCAGGGCAATATGGCAGGATTTTGCTACATTCCATTTAGCTCTGTAGCTGAGATGGTTTGGAAAGATCTTGGTTGGGCTCAAAGGAAAAGCACTTCAGCAGGCAAAGCACTTGTTTTTTTTCAGAATGTACTTGTAAAAATGAAGCACAGTATGTAGCCAGGAGAAGCTCTCACCCTGTCCTCAGCAGAGCACACTGGTTCTGCAAGGGGCACCACTCTTCTTGTTCTGCAGCACACAGACCCCACAAAGGCCAAAGCTCCTTTTGTCCTGCACTCTGTCCTGCTAGGACACAAGAGCTCTGACCCCCAGAGTGCTACAAAAGAACTGAAGAGAGCCAGAGAAGGAGATACAGGGACCAAGTGCTTTCTCCAGCATGACTTATACCTTACTGGGTAGCCCTGGGCTTGTTGCTACACCTTTCTGAGTTTTTTCCTGGTGGTAAAAATGAGGCTGGTGTTACAAACTTTCCACCTGGGTACTCTGACTGGTCAGTCATGCATCTGCATCAGCTGAGTATTGTTATCTTGACTGTTGTGTTTGCATTCCTGGCTCCTATAGCTCCTCTTCCAATCTGTCCTCCTTGGTCCTATTTCTTTTGTATTTGGGATAATCACAGGCATCTGCTACCCAGACTCAGCAGCTTTTTCAGATTATGCACCTTCTGAGAGATTGTTGGCCTATTTTATTTTGTCAATATGAAGACAGGGGCTGTATTTACCACCCACGCTGATGCAGTGCCCTCTGAGACATTTGTAGGAAGACCTGGGTATCTCATGTTTTTGTACTCTGCCAGGCACAGAGATAAATAGCGAAGAGCAAATTCTGAGAAGAAGGGGCACAACATGAACCAAAACTTAGTTTGCTAGCTACAGAAGATCATTTTAACTTTGTAATGTCACAACAAAATAAATGAACTTGGTGTGTTTTGTATGCTGAAGCTGCGCTAGAACTGTGCATTTCAAAGTAATGCAGACAAAAAGGGGCCAAGGCAGTGCTGCTACATGAGGCTGGTGGTTTAAGGGGGTAATGAACAAGTGAGGATATGTCAATCAGGATCCTGATTTTGCAGGTCAGGGCCAGCTCTTATTTTGCAGGTAAAGTCCAGCCCTTGGAGAGAAAGACCTGTGACACCCGGCTGACTTACCTATGCATGGAATGACTCAGATAAATCATCTATTTATCCAGAAGGACGAATTGCCTTCTTTTTTTCACTGGGGTTAAACCAGGGTAATTCTGTGGTAACAGGAGAATTATCTGCAGATTCACTGGTCTGAATGGGCTCAGCAGCTTCTCCTGTTTAAAGCTGAGGGCTGCAGCACTGAACAGTCAGCAGTGGGAGAAAGGGAAGAGTTTGCCTGCCAAATGATAATAATAGCAGGGAGAAGGAGATTTACACAATTCAGGTCCATGGGTAATTGGTTCCACATGCAAATATTTTCATGAAAAGGCTTTTAATTCCTAAGTTGGACTCATTTCTGAGCAGCCCAGATTATCACACTTTGCCTTTTATATTTGCTTGCTTGCCAGGTTATATTAGTTGTTAAAAAGATCTTGCCTCTAAGGCTTCCTGTGCCCACTATGCTGCTGCCCAAAATGGCAAGACTCATGCCTGTTCCTGAAGTGTCAAAGTGGATTTTTCTCCTATGAGATAGAAGTGATTTCTCAAAAAACAGACATTGAAATACTCAGCTAAAATGAGCATTTTCATCTTATTGACTAAACCAGACTGCAGTCTTCATTTTGGCATATTGTATTTTTGTATATAGCATCAATAGGCACTACCCCAAAACATCAAAACGAGATAGTAATAGTTAAAGACAGCACTGTGACCACACTGTGACCATTACGTGTTCCTAATGGGAGTTTACATTTAATTTTCATGGAAATTCATTAGTAGTGGGGGAATCTTTTAGCCAGTCTTCTGAAGGACTGTTCCTAACAATTTATGTTCCAGTGTTCTGACCAGCCAACCTTATAAACAGTTAGGGAAGACAAACATAAAGGTGATTCACATCACCTCGTTTTAGCCGTTTGAAAAGCCCTCCCACCAAGACACACTCCCCAAACCCTTCAGTGAAAACAGTTTGGAGGTTGGACAAAATTTCTCAAAAAAAAACCCCAAAACCTTCACAGAATATCAGAAAGTAATTTGATGAGCTGCTGAACCACGGTGTTTTATCATCTTGTCTGTCTTGAATTTGTTTGCACTCACTGTTGTAGATTTATATCAGAAATCTGCCATTGGAACAAGCGTCTAAGACACATCACATACCAGGTGTTGTCACTGGGTTTCACATCATAAACTTTAGATGTGTAAGAAAGAGCAAGGTGCTTTTTTAATGCAGCAAGCATTACGGTAAACTGCAACACAGATTACATATACAGTATATATTATGTTAAAAAGAAACAGTAAGATGAAAGATTAAGAAAACAATAGAAAGAAATATTAATTTCTAAAATCTAAGCTGGTTCTTTCTTTGCAGAAATGTTGAAGCAGCATCAAATATTCCAGCTACATATCTGCAGGCCAGTATTCCTGTGCACCTCAATGTGCTCCTCTGCAAGTGGTAGATGGAGCATTTAATTTTTTTCGTTCTCACCTACAGATGCCTGACTCAGTTCTTGTGCCTGTGCAGAATAAGGAACAACAGCATTAGTTCTGATGCTTTTGTCCTTCTGAAAACCAAACTGCTGGGGAGAAAACAAAATTCCATCATTTTCATAGCTGCTTTGTAATGACATCAGGTGTCAGCCCCGCAGGCTCTGGCACAGAGCAGAGGGGTTCAGTGAACCTCTGCTGACCAAGCACACAGGAAGCAATCTAGCTACTGCTACATGGAACTTGGCACAGATTAAATTGTCCTGCTGAGAAGCATACATTATATATAATGCCAAGACATGGCAAAAAATGAATGGCTCTAAATACATTCTCGCTTTGGAACCTATTGTCACATCTTACAGTCTCAGGGCAGAGCTTCAGGATGGATTATTACTTTCTTGCCCTCCTGCCCAGTATGCCTCTTTGGGACTGCTGTTCAAAGATTTTGGAAGAGGAAGTTTAATTTGAGATGCACCACAGAAATGCGAGATTACACAGCAACTCCTCTGCTGCAAGATACTCTTCTTTTCCGCTGCCCGTGGAAGTTTCAAGCCCAGTAACTTGCTGTTGGCAGTGTTGATAGACCAGGAAAATAATGTTTGCAAGCATGAGGTACCTTCTACCCTGTGAACTTTCCTATCAAGTTGACATACAATAGTGGTGCAAAATGCAGTCTGCAGATAAATGGAGACTCTGAGTTTCCAGTGCTATCAGTCTGGCACCTTTTCTGAATTCTAAATTCTCTTGAAGATGTAAATGGGGGTGGTGAGGAGGAGAGCTAAATGCAATACTGGTATCTTCGCTTCCCATCAAAATGCTAATATTAAATTCTTTTCAGTAAGAATTTCCATTCAAGAGTAATGACAACTATGAGAGAGAAATACATTGTTACTAACATAATAATTTATCCTTTTTTTTTTTTTTTTTAAATCAGGAGACAAAAAAAAAATGGTAAAGAACATCCAGGATAATATAAATCCATTTAATTAAAATATTGCATTCCACATACGTTTGTTGTTTTGGGGTTTTTCATTTGGTTGGTTGGGGTTTTTTTTCTTGTGCTTGGGATGCTTCCAGCCAAAGGTCTAGCAAGTTATAAATAAATAGATCAAGGTGCTGCAAACAGTTTTTCCTCTTCAAAAGTGGAAACAAAAAACCAGTCATCTAAAAGGAACAGGGTCAGAATGATCTTTACAGTTGCTGCAAGGACTGCCTGCTTGAAGTTGGAATTACGGTATTTTTATGCATCATCTGACCTGGGTTATTGAATGAGTGAAATGAAGCAAAAAGGCAAGATACAGTTTTCTTAGTTAAAATAATTAATAATTTATACCAACAGTACTCAGTGTGTGATAGTAAACTAGCACAAGAAGGGGCCTATGATGACACGTGCACATGGTGAAAGGAGATGGGCTCTTACCTAGTTGCCCTCATTCTGTTGGTGCTTCTACTGAGTCTGAGACTTGTCTAGATAAGGACTACAGAACCAGGCTTACATCTGCTTTGGAGTCCTTGGCTGAGATGAAGCAATTCACCTTCTTGCTTCTCTCTGCCAGACAGGATTTTTCCTAATGTTCACACAGGATTAGATCTCTGCTGGGCGTATTGAGAACCCTCAGCCATAACAATCTACATGAAGAAAAGGTGGAAGAAAGGAAACTTCATTATTCCCTTTATAAAGAAAAGGAACGAAAGCCCAGAAGGTGCAGAGCATGCAGAATTAAATCTCAACCTGTTGAGTCCTGGCCCATTGCTGAAATATCTGCCCGGTCTTATTCTCTGCAAAAGCTGAGGCTGTTACACTCAACTTTAGGACCCCTTGACTAAACTGCCAAAACCTTTGTGGAATTTCTGTGTGTGTGAATATGTGTCTGCTCTTCAGCAGAGAGAAGAGGAAGGGAGAAAAAGACAAAAAAAAATGAGACAGAGCAGGAATTCAGAATAAAATACTGATACCTGTCACTGTCATCAATAGTATAGAGTTACTGTATCACACCATGCTGATCAGCACTTTTTTCTTGTGATAAGGCAACTGAAGGTCAGCAAAACAAGCGCTGTTGAGCACTGTGCTCAAGGACATTGGTTTCTTGTAGACTCATTGTAACCAGGAGTGCTCACTGAAGGCTATCTCAAACTGGGCCATTGATAAGCTCTATCTGTCTGTGTTATGGTTTAAACAAAGTCAGCCATAAATCATGCAGTTGCTCTCTCACTCCTCCCCTTTTTGCCCTCCCCCTGCTCCCAGAGGGATGGGAAGGGAATCAAAAGAATGCAACTCCCATGGGTTGAGATAAGAGCAGTTTAGTAACTAAGGTATAACACAAATCACTACTGCTACCATCAATAATAATAACGGTAAAGGAAATAACAAGGGAAGAGAATACAACTTCTCACCACCTGCCGACCGATAACTCACTCCCCCAGCCCGACCAAGGACCGACTGATACCTCGTCCAACCCTGCCGTCAACTAGCCTTTCCAGGTAACTCCCAGTTACACCCTGGGCATGACGTGCTGTGGTATGGAATACCTCTTTGGTCAGTTTGGGTCAGGTGTCCTGTCTCTGCTTCCTCCCGGCTTCCCCTCCTCCCTGGCAGAGCATGAGGCTCACAAAGTCCTTGGCCAGACCAAACATTTGAGCAGTAACTAAAAACATCGGTGCTATCAGCATCGTTCCCAGGCTGAAAGTCAAAAACACAGCACTGCACCAGCTACCAAGAAGGAGAAAACTTGCTGAACCCAGGACAGTCTTCTACATGGAGTGTTTTGTTACAAGGTAAAAGAGAGGTGGTTCTTTCTGTGGTCTTGCTTATGTCCCCATGTGTTTGGTTTACAGAGCTGGCAGGAAATGTGTTACTTCTCTGTTCTCCACTTCTCTTTCAACTTAGCTAAAATCCACCAGTAGTTTACAATGTGGAGTGGGAGGAATGACACAGGCAAGAGGCAGACTGGTAGGCAGGCTGACAAAAGGCGTGAGCTCATAATTACGATTTCCTTCAGAGAAGAAACTGAGATTGTCTGGATTTTTCCCCTAACACTTGAGATCCTGCAAATGAAGATTTAAAATAATTCACATGAATATTACATCTAAGGAACGGCATAGCATATTTTCACATAGCCCATTTCTTCTCTCCTTAGCATCTCTTACCTGAAAATAATGGTACTAAATGGCACTAAAGGAGGAAAAATCGTATCAAGACAAGTTGCTTGAGTACTAAAAATCCATTCTACCTGCATACCATGTCTGTGAAAAGTTCAACATGATCTGAAACTCACTTCAATGAAGGAAAAACACACTTTCTCTCCCTCCCTCCTTCCTTCTCTCACTTCCTTCCATCTTACTTATTGAAGTAACACGAGTGAATAGCAAAAGCAGTGTTCTGTGAGAGATAACCCACTCAGTGTGATGATACTCTGACTTTAAGGACTAAGCATCAATTTTATTTCAGCTGCTCCAGGTGTTTTATTAAATAGTTCTGTTGAAAATCCTTATTGTTATTTTTTTAGCTCTCCTAAACTGCCATGAGCTCAACAGTATTCTTAAAGGGATTCTGACTCCCTTATCCTTCATCTGAGCAGAAGCAGGTATTGTGTTTCTTTCCCACCATCCTTGCTCTTGTCATTGGCTATTTAATTCAAATCGGAGTTATTTAAGGGATTTATAAGCTTAGCTTTCTAAACCCTGCTTAAATAAAATTAAATAAACCCCACATTCTGAATATTATCTAAATTCAAAATGAGGGCAACTCATCTTCTCCTGCTCAAAAAAAACCACAACCCTAAAAGGAAGTTATGTTTGTGCCCTGAGCTCAACCCCTTCGCTGTCTCCCTGACATGCCTGGGAGGGGATCCACTCCAGTCTAGAAAACTACATTTGAGTTTTCTCTTTTTATTTTCAGTCATTTTCTATCCTGATTTTCCTTCTATTTTTTTTTTTTTTTCCCCTCTTTCATGAATCTACTATCCCATTCACCTTCCTTTCCTAGCACTTTCTTGCCTCATTCCACTTTAGCCTTATAACTCACACACCGGCCATTTAGTTGTTGTTCCTGATCTTTGCTTCTCACACCAGAAAGAACAGCTCTTAGGTTCCTCTGGAACCTACCAAAGACCACTGCTTTTCTCACATTCAAGTAACAATGTTCATGATAACAAAGCCTGTGTTAATATCTTCTTGGATCTGTTGCCTTAGGGGGTACATTACCTTCCAGCAGACTTTCCCAATAGCTTAAATGTGTGCATTTCAATATAACCATTAATCACACCCTTATAATCCTTTGTTGTACAGAATCGTTGCCCTGTTGAATATGCAGAAAGAGCACTGATTTAGGGAGGACTATGGGAAAAGAAAAGGAAATGCAAAAATTGTTAAACTATTCTAAAATCCTACATAGCATTTCAGTGCACACAGGAGAACTACATGTTGTTCCTAGAGCTTACTGGGACTTTGGGAAGAAGATGGCAAGGTTATATTTTAAAGTATCTTGAAAAGAAGAGTATGTTGCCTTCAGAATACAATAGACCTAATTCCATATTTGGTTGAACTGACAGTGTCCGAAGGTCAATCTCTGAAGTTTCCTTCTAATCCTGCTGTGACTCTTACAAAATGAAATACTCATGAGAAAAATATGACAAAAGCTGATACTATTTCCCTATTGTTTAGTTAAGGTTTGGGGTTATTGTCTTAATTTGCTACTCATTTTTAGCTCCCACTGAAGAAAAACAAGAAGTGTCTTTCTTATCAAAGGAATTTTTAACTTCTCAGGAAGATAGGATCTTCCAAAACAGAAGGCCCTGTTGTGTGAGGCCAGTGTAGGCAAAATTGATCTTGAAGCTGGGACAGCCTAGAATGCAATCTGTGCTAGGTGTTGTCAGTCTCTTTTCTTTCACTTTGCATGAATTTCCAGGAAGAAGGAGGACCTATTTACCTAATATCCTGAGGGAAAACCCATGAGTATTAGCTTTAGGAAGTCCACATCAGATCCCAAAAGACTGTCCCAACAGAAATCAATTAAATATGTATATTTCCAAGAAAAACAAAGATATTTGAGAATTCACACTTTCCAGTGAACAGCTGTTTCATTGGAAAATTCTGAACCAGCTGTAGCATATGGAAAGACAAGGTCATCATGATATTGTCATCTCCTGTTCCTTAGAGGATTAATATGGATCAGTAATAACTGCAGCAGCCAGAGCAATTAATAATGGAAAAGGTGCTAATGCGCATTGATGAAGTCACCAGAGTCAGAAATTTCTTACCCTGGGTTTTTTTTTGCCTTCTTTTTGATCCCTTTTACACCATGTGCTGAGCAAAAAATTGAGTTTTTCTGCTTATAAGGCCTGACAATCCTTAAATAAATGGATTTATGTTTGATGATACTAGGACTGCAAGTAGGTGCCTGGCCTTTAAAATCCTGTCTGAGTTTCCACATTTTTTCCTTTAAAGCTCCATGAAGTCCATTAACTTAGGGACCTGAGACATTTTTATTCTGTACATTATTTTATCCATACATGAAATATGCAGGTCATCAAAGAGGGGTGACTATGCATTCCCTGTACATGGCTTTCTTCTTACTTAAGGCTGAGCAGTTCCTACTTGGTTAAGCCCTTTATAATGCTTGCATGGCCTCTAGTAAGGTCTACCAGGAACACAGGAAAATCTTACTCTTGAGATTCATCTGCTATCTTTATATTTGATATAAAGTCAACCCGAGCTGTAATCCGGGAAAAATCCTTGCTAGGTGCTCACGCTGATGCTCTTTATGGTCTTCCCCTGCTGAGGGCTCTGGGCTGGATGCTGTCTTAATGAAATGACTGTGCTACATAGGGGAGCTTCTTCCTACATCTCAGATTGACTCTAGAGGGAACAAGAAGAAAACTGCACTGGGAGTGGTCTGTTGCTGGTTAACTGCAGGGTAGGGAATAATATAGCAAAACAAGGTGCAAGAACAATTTGGTAGTCTCGTTTTCCCAGCTGCCTTTCGCTTTGAAATACCCTTCAATATTGCATACTTCCTACCCAAAATGTCTTTGGGGCTTTACTAGAGATACTTTAAATTAAAGTTTGCCTTGTCTATTTTTTTTTAGCGCCATACATCTCATTTATGGCACCTGCAAAATGCCACCTGTGGCTGACAGGAAATGCAAAGCCCAAATTAAATGGAAGGTCTAGAGCACTGAAAAGTGTTCTAAAAGCATGAGGTTAAGAAAAGGATACATGGCATACAAACATAAAATTTTCCCCCTAAAATTACACACTGGCCATTGGTAGTCATCTGAGAAAGTTCTGAAGCATATCAGGCTCCCATAGAAAGGAAGAGGATACAGAAAGAGAAGCAGTTCAAGCTGCAGCCTGCAGAGCTAAAAGCAGAAATGTCTCTTTCCAACAGGAAGAAACCAATTTGTCAAGATAAGAAATAGTACAGGATAATACGTGCCTCTTGGTAGACAGGAACATTGGAGCTGAGTACTAAGTGCTATCTCCTACCTGTGAGAGCAAATGCATCAAAACAGCCAATGTGGGAGAGAACTGGGAAAAACTGTGTGTGGTTGATGGCATGCCATCATTTAGTAACGTGTAGGGCATTCCTGCTCTAAATGACCCACTTAATGGTATATAGTCCCAGCAAACATGACTAATGCAGGTGGGTCAGATAAAAATACACATGCTCATACTAAAGAATAAAAGAACTTCAATTATACTGTTCCAGGGAAATAATGCAACAAAGGCTGCATACAGATGGGCCACTGACAGAGAAGCTGTACACTAACAGAATGAAAAATCAAAGCAGAGAGCAGTTCACTGAAAGATGCCAAACTGTTCAGTTCAGGACCAATGCAGAAGTGCTTCTCAAGACCAGAGCACAGATATGCACTGACGCATGCTCTGTCTGCTGCCTGCCCTGCCCTCTGATACAGCAAATGTAAAGCCTTGTTAACATGATTGTTCTTTTACATCTGTGCCACATGTGTGTACCTGTGTCAGTGAGGGCACTTTGCCTAAGTTGGAGAGTGCAATCCTGAGCTCCCAAGCCCATGGAAGAGCCTTAATCCTGGTGGATTTTTAATCTTTTCTAATGGCTATGCTTTTTCCTGCTTTTTTCAGGTTGCCTGGACTGTACAGACACCTATCCCAATACCTCAGCTGTTGTGACAACAACTCTTCAAGCCCAAATCAACAAGTAAACAATGTTTTACAGTATATAAGTCAGCTTCATTATTTTTCTTGCTGAGTAATTCATGAAGGTTCACAATCATTGATCACTGCCTCAGCTTCAGGTATTTTTTTCCAGAACACTCTGAAAGCAAAAAAGAAAGGATACAGTGATAAGTAAGCTACTGAGAGTATAGAAGATATTTATAAACACAGACAATGCAAACAGTTAATTAGCTGCAGCCAGTGAATTAAAATTCAGCAGGCCACACACATTTTTAGTTCCTGAGAAGCTGACTTCCCATCTTAGTTATGTCTAATGTGCCTTTTATTAAGGTACCAATGTTTGAACAGAAAATAGTTATTGTTTTAATGATTGGTAAAACTTTACATCTTTCCTGACAGAACCCTCAGGTCCCTGCAGATGCACTTTGTTGTATCTGCCTTCCCAGACACTGCCTAGCAGATGTTTTGAGTTCATTGGTAGGAATGTGAAAACAAATATGAGTAATGCTCATAAGATAGTCTGACCTTAAATAACAATTATCAATCACAGTAATTGATTACAGGGATTGAAGGCTGACACTGTTTGGAGCCAGGTGTGGAGAATGCAGAGCTGTAGTACAGCATCAAGTGAAGCCATGTGGGAGCAAGACTTGAGATGGCTTCAGGCCATGACATGCCAGACTAAAAAGCAAGGCAAGCCCATGGCCAGAAGGGCAATACATCAGTATTGCCCATTTTGGCCCTGGAACAGGAGCTAGCAGGGCTGGGGTCAGACTGGTTATTTAGGAGCAGGAACATGGACAGAAGGCACAGAAGTGTGGCTGGTATACTCAGCACCTAAGGAGACCCTAAGAGACAAAAAAGCATCCAGGTAGTTGGCTACCACCATCTGCCTTGTGAGATCTGGGAGGAATAGTTGTAGATTTAAATATTTTTGGAGTAAGCAATAGCAGACTCAAAAGGAGGATTCCTCCAGTTCATTCGAACTCAAGAGCATATATTTGCAAAGCAGTATCTCATCAACTCATGTTTTATCATTTAAAAAAACCCTAGAGCTCTGAGCATGCTAGACATTCATAAATATTTGGAGCATCTATGAATATATATCCCATTTACAAATTACTTAATTAGTTTATCACTATCACTCTAATACAAATAATTCCAGCAATTCCACTTTAATGTTATAATTCATTCTGTAATGTGTACGGTATTAAAATGCCATGATATTCTAATGCAAATATTCATGTCTGAACATCTAATAGGGAAGGATGTAAAAGCTTTACTGTTAGATTGCATGATAAAATGTAGTCATTTATAGTAGTAAACATTAATACTAGTATTTTATAGTACCTAATATTTTAATATACAAAATGTCACCACTTAGATAGCTACAGATAATTTTAAAAATAATATGTTAATCTAAATGTAACACCGGTTAGGCAGAGAAATCACAAGAGCTCCAAGGTACAGTTTACTTAAGAAACAGGCAAAACTTCTCTTGAACTTTGTGAATTCTGGAATTTACTGAAGATTTGTCATAAAATATATTTATATAATCCTGAATTTTTATAGGACATCTCACTTTTACAGACCTAATTTCATTACGCCTGTCCCTTCCTAAATTGAAGGTAGGAATAATTTTTAACTACATCTGTATTGCCAGTGATGGCTGGCGCTTATAAATTATTTATGTTGGAATCACATTATTTTTCATTGCACATTAGCAGTGAATTCATGACTGGCTGTCAGCTATTAAGGAGTAATCAGAGAATTGGTACTTGGGCCTTTGACACTTGGGGAAAGTTTCTTCCAAAATCCCTTCAGTGATTTTGCAGAAAGCCACTTTTCACCACTTCTGAGTTCCTTGTTATTTTGTCTGCTATTAATTGTTCCTCTAGAGATGAAAAAAATCTATTCCAAAGTGATGTTTTTTCAGGAAGTTGCTTATGTAACACATGCATATTTGAATTAACAAGTCTGCTTTCTGTCTTTTCTCTCTGCCTAGCTTCAGTGTTGGATGAGACTACCTCTTCACCTGTACGGTATCTTGTTTGGATGAATCCCCCCTGCTGAAATGCTACTTCATAACCAGGTATTTCTATCTCACTCCAGATTTGTTCCCCCAAGGGACACATACAGACTATAGCAGCTCTAGACTACCATTTAGACCTTTTAGGAATCTTGACCATCTTTCTCATCCTTCTGGCATTTGCAATAATCCTGAGAATTGTGGCTTCCTGGCACAGCAAATTCATGAGAAAAGGTATTCTGAGGTCAAGGATGATATCTGTCCCAAAACAGCAAAGCTGTGCTAATGGAAAGGAGCAACCCATGCGATAAGATCTGCACATCTGCCCACTCCTGGAATTTTGCAGCCACTATCAAGTCCCAGCAAGTAATTCCAGAGCATATGAGGAAGAAGGGACCTAGGCAGCCACTGAGGGCAGTCAGGTGACCATGGGAGGAGATATCACCCTTGCAGCCCCAAGCCAAACAACCAGACCCTACGTATCTTCTCTGCATTTCGGACCCAGATACCACTATGGAAAGCAGAAAAGAAAACCAGCACTAAATATGCAAAATAAATATACTGAGCAATTCATGTTCCAGGTGCTCTATGGCACCACCAGCTTTGGCAGATACACGGTGCATAAACCACTTCTGTTTCCTTTTCTTCACTTTAGGTGCTCAAAATAGCGCTAGAGAATTTAGGTTGATTCAGTAAATGCACCTGCTTACATTTGAGCTCATCCTCTAGGCTTTCTGTTGTCATTAGACAGAAAGAGGCATTTCTAGGGCACAATTCATCCCACCTTCAAGCAGACAATTAAATCAGCCCAGGTGAATGACACTGTACAACAGCTTATCTTTCTCCACTATTAAGACAACCCAGGAAAGTGGAAATATTGAAGCTGAGAACATGTGGAATTAATTTCACCCCTTATTTTTATAGGCTTTTCTTACTTCATGTAGCAAATCACACTTCCTTTCCTTTGCTCTTCTCCTGTCCTTTGTAACTTCGCTTTATTTTTTCTGCCTAGTTTCCGCCCTTCATCCTTTTTCAGCTAGTGTAGATGAAATGCCACAGAGTTCTTGAGAATGGCAGGTCTGTTTATTGCAGTGGGAGAGAGAAGAAGATGAAAAGTAAAAGCATCAAAATAAAGCAGCAAAACAAAATGACAAGCAAAAACTCCAAAGCAGTTTTATCAGTATTTTCTGCTTTTTAAATAGTTATATTTCATAAGGAAACAGCCTAAATTAGGGTACAGATATGATTTGAAATACATAGAGATTATAAGACTAAATGATGCAGAAGCAGTCTGCTCTTCCGCAGAACACTAAAATGCTATATTTATAACCAGGACCCAGCATGGCCTTATAGAAAGAGACCCAATAAACAGCAGAGAACTTCCAGCTCTCCATGTAGGAAGGCTCTCTTTCCCTATGCGAATTGGTCATGTAAATCATGGAGAACAATTCTGATTTGCCTTCTACATGAATATTTTGGAATTAATCAGACAGACATGTCTGATGTCAGACAAAGTATTTTGTGTGTTAGATGTGCTACTGTTCTGGTGGTTTTAAGTTAATAGTATTGCATTGCATTTTTCATTATTTAGCTGAGGTTTATTTTCACAGCTTTTCAAACTCACATCCTTTAACATCATATGTCAACAAGGCTTTTATGTAAGTATCACAGGATCACAGAATAGTTGAGGCTGGAAGGCACCTCTGGTGATCACCTAGTCCAAACCCCTGCTCAAAGCAAGAACAACTAAAGCAGATTGCTGGGGACTATATCCAGTTGGGGTTTGAATATCTGCAAGGATTCAACCTGGCAAATTGTGCCAGCATTTGATCACCCTCAAAGTGAAAAAGGTTTTTCATATGTTTAAATGGAATTTCCCATATCTCAATTTGTGCCCATTGTGCACCAGCCACGTGAGCTAACGCTGTATGTCTCTGTGATGCCAATGAGATTGTAGCAGCACATGGAGCTCAAATTCCTTCTCCTTGCTCCCTGTACTGCATGTGTTAATGTACAGGCATTTTAAAAAGGCACACACTTGTGCTGATTTCCCAGGAAAAAAATGTGAGAGCTTCCCACATAATGTTGTGCTCTTTGGCACTTCCTTATTTGAGTCTATATGCCTGAGGTCCCCTTCAGTCCTGTACTGCTGGTTTCAATGTCTCTCTTGTCCACCCTGTATCTTTTGCTTGCCAGTCCAGTCCACCACTTCCTCACTTGGCTGTAGGTTGCAATTTCCCCCTGCCCCCCATCATTCCCAGTTTCAGATTTTCTTTACCGGGTTGGCCAGCCTGTTGGCAAAGATGTTTTTGCCCTGCCTAGTCAGGTGGGATCATGTCTTTTCCCTAACAGTCTTTGACCCTCACAAAAGACCTGCGATCATAAAAACCAAATCACTGTAATTGACACCAGCTGCACAAACAGTTGTTGATTCATAGAATTTATTCACCTCTTAGCAGCAGAATCAAGGACAAAACCATTTGGGCCCCCATGCCTTCACCCAGAGTCATGTAGCCATGTTCAATATGTTCCAGGTCTCCCCTGAGCAGCACTGGCATCCACCTGGAAGAGCAGCAGGGGTTAACAGTCCAAGGATGGGACAAGCCACATCAATGTCTCCACGGTGTCCCAGATCCAAGCCCACAGCAAGCAGCAAACCTCCCTAAACAGCAGGTCAGGTTGGTAGATAGAGGCCTTGCAGCAATATTAATATCCAGCATGATCTTCTGACCAAAAGTTTGCTTTGGTTATTGCAGTAAACAGGATTGGAACACCTTAGAATCCCATCAGGACAAACTCATCCAGAAGCCTTATGTGACAGAGCAGGTGTCAGTCCTTGACAGACTGTCCTGAGAAAATGTGTCTGGGAATGTGCAGTGGTGATGTAAGATACCGCAGCCATTGAGCCAAACTCAACAGATCTTCAGCTGAATATCCTTTCCTTTCCTTTTTAAATCCTCTCAATTTAGCCCCAAGCCAAAGCTACAGAGGAAGCTATATAGGAGTAAAGAGAGAAAACAATCATTACAAAAAAGTTTCAAATATGCACCTTTTCTTACAAATTTAATAGAGCTTGTTCAGATCCATATGTT